AGAACAGATTTGGGCGTTTTCTAGTAGGTGTGCTCAACCCATCTTTAGTTCCCAACCAGATGGATGTAGTGATTGGAAAACGTTACTTCGAGCTCAAGTTCATCGTTGAGCAGCCACAACCTGCTGAAAGCTCACGAGCAGGACTGCAGGAGCACTAGCAGCAGTGAATGATATTGATGGGAATAACGACGAGGCTAACGAAGATGAGGTGATGGAAGACAAAGCTGACAAGAAACATAAAAATGTGGGGAGCACTTCCGGTGATACCAGTACGTGGACAGCTTATGGAGGACATGGGCAGGCGTTCAACTAATGATCTTCAGATGGAGATGGCTGAGGTCACCTTACCTTCACCATGGGATGCGACATGTCCACAGGTGGCTTCTACAGCTCGGGAGGTTTCGGTTGACATAACAGGAGGTGTGCAGTGTGCTCGGGATGGAGGAGACAGCTTCTCCGGCGGTGGAAACTGCAGAGGGCGCTGAAAATGGCCAGCGCGCGGTGGAGGTCTCAATCGCGCCGGCAGAACCTTCACAGTCTCTTGGTCCGCTTTTAGAGAAGGCTCTTTGAGGTACATAGCACGACGGCGTTGATTGGAGTAATCAGTTTGAAGCCGATCATCACATCTCGCCTAGTCTAAGGAAGAACAAGGGTAGTGCGTCTCGTAGAAGGCGGAAAGTCAAAACCAAACTTGTTTTTAAATGAAAGGAATCTTTTGGAATAGCAGAGGGTCTTTAGAGATTTGGCAAAGTTTAGATTTCTACATGATTTATCTGTTGAAAAGAGTTTAGATTTCATTGCCATACTAGAAACTTATAGGAGGAATTTTTCGGATGACAATTTAAATACCTTCGCTGTGGTGGAAAGAATTTTTTTTGGGGGTTCCTCCTAGCGTACATCTGTTGGCATTACAGCAGTTGTCTATTGAAACGGTAATACTTCCTATAGGACGTTCGTTCATCCGACACTCCTGTTGGTGGGCCACGAGCCCAACAAACCCCCTATCCTATCATATCTGCTCGTCCACTCGTTTCTCTATCCTATCATATCTGCTTGTCCACTCATCTCTCCAGAACCATGCAGAAATCACCATAGCGCCGTGACCGTGCTTCGTCGCGCCGCATCCGGCGTCCGGGCACTCGCCGGCCGACATCTCCACCGTGCCCCAGCGTGGCCGCCCACCTTCCTTCCTCTCCATCACGCCTCCTGCCCACTGCGGTTGCCTGTCTTCCTCCTAGCCCTTGCGTCGTCATCGTCTTGCTCTGGTGCTAGATGTGGCTGCCTCTCCGGCCGCTTCCTACGCCACCCCATAGCAAAGCCCTACACCGGCGGCACGTAGTAGATGAACTCCTCTGCCACAGGCGTACATAGCCACGCGGCCCTCCTGTTTATTATGGCGTCGTGTTGTGCCGGCTGCCTTGATGCGCCTCCGCCTCCTCCTCACATAGATGTCTTTCGCGTCGCCCGTGTTGATGGCTGGCCTGCTCGTGGATGATCTTGGATGGTAGCGGCATGGTGGCTTGGCGCAGCGGGGACGCACGTGTAGTTGTGCTCCCTCTGTGCGGCAAGCAGCAAGGAGATGTTGCGCGAATATGTTTTAATTATTTCAGATATTTTAGAGGTATGTTGTAAGTGTTTTCGCATGGATGTTGTAAAAGTAGATTGAGATATTGCATATGTTGTAATGGCTATACACGCATGTTGCAAACGTCTGTTCCAAATGTTTCATCTATTTCTTAGACTATGTTGCAAGTGTTTTATCTAGATGTTGCATATGGTTCACATATATGTTGCAAGTGTTTTATTTGGATGTTACGTATGCTTGCAATGGCTTTCAAGTGTTTTCAGGCGTTTTGCTAATGTTTCAAATGTATGTTGCAAGTGTTTTAGATGTATGTTGTAAGTGTTTTAGTTGTTTCAGACATATTTGTAAGTGTTTCATCTGCATGTTGCAAAAGTAGATCGGGTGTTGCATATGTTGCAATGGGATCCACCTATCGCTGCCGCCTGCTGCAGCTGCAAAGGCGTCGTGCATGCGGTTCCTGTATGAAGCGGGCGTGGGAAGCAGCCGGCGTAGGCACAGGCAGTCCCTCACGCTTGATACGGAGCGAGGGTGCAAGCGATCCCCACGTGCGCACGGGAAGCAAAGCTGAAGCGGGCGGTTCCCATGTGTGAGCGGAGGGTGCGGGTAGGGCGACATCCACACAATACGGGCATAGGAAATGAAGGAGGCGCGCGACACAAGCAGGCCCGGACGCTAGCATCTCCCCTATTAAAAACATCGATCCATGACGATGAGTTCTTTGTCAAGCTCTACTTAAAGAATAAAAGCAATGGCTTTCGATGGGTTCTTATGGTTGTGTACGGTGCGGCACAACCATAGCACAAAGCTCGCGGAATTTGTGAGAGCTTGTTCAAGTGAATCCTTGCCGGGAACGGCCGGTTGACTGAGTTGGTCAGTGCAGGCTCAGTACCTCTCTCCTGGGGTGGTCAGAGTTCGAGTCCTAGAGGATTCACTCTCGTGGCTTTGGCCACAACGACCAGGAGACGGAAAAACTCCCTCGTCTGTCCCACGTCCAAAGCACAGTCTGTGGTCAACTTTTCTCACGGAGTTGTGGTGCCGCTGTGTAAGGGTAAGTTAGGGTTCGGAGGTTCTCTCGATCTGCGTGAGAAGATTTTCTTCTCAAACCGGAATACCTAGGGACTGTTTAGCCACCGCGGATCGAGTTTTTTTTCCTGAATCATTACCTATAATGGTAGGAGGAGACTTCTTTTGTTGTGTGTGAACAGGTAGGCGGAGACTTCAACATAATTAGAAACCCCAGAGAGAAGAATAATGAAAGGTATGATAGTAGGTGGCCTACTTTGCTTAATGCTTGCATAGAATCGCTTAATTTAAGGGAGCTAGAACTTTCTGGGAGAAGGTTTACTTGGGCTAATACAGCTGATGTCTCAACTTTTGAGAAGTTGGATAGAGTGCTTCAGTACCAGCTGGGAACAAAAATATCCTCTGTCAATGGTGGTTGCTCTCACACGAGAAATTTCAGACCACACACCACTTTTGCTAGATACCCGTCAAACAGCTCACAGAGGTCTTTTCAAGTTTGAATTAGGGTGGCTTACTAAAGAGGGCTTTTATGATTTGGTGGTAAACGTTTGGTGTATTGAAAACCGTGGCAGGTGTCCCATGTGTCGCTAGCAAAATAAGATCAGAGCTGTTCGTAGTTTTTTGAAAGGCTGGGCGAAAAATCAGGTACGGGGAAATAGGAAGAAGAAAAAGCGTCTTTTAGAACAGCTTGATAATCTAGATAGAAAAGCAGAGCTCGTTTTACTCTCAGCTCAAGAGTTGGAACACAAACATTGTTTGACAGCCGAGTTAACCAACACTTCTGAAAACTCGAATACTTCTGTGCGTGTTGATTTTTTCTGTGCGTGTTTCTCAAAACACACAGAAAATTTATAATTATTCTGTCGGTTTCAAAAAAAATCCCCACAGAAATATAGAAAACCCGATAGAATAATTAAGTTATTTTTTTGTGCGTGACAATACACAAAGAAAAACAGTGAAGACCCACAGAGAAATAGCAATTATTCTGTGGGTTTTTTTAACTCACAGAAAAAAGACACAGGCACAGTGGCGCGGTATAGAATAGAAAAGAGAGTGAAAAAAAACGAAAACAAAAACACCCTAAAACTAAATCCTCCCGCGGCCGCCACCGACGCTATCCCAAACGCGCCGCGCCGCCGAGGCCGAACTCCGCAGAGACTCCAAGTCCGCCGCTCGCCGCACAAGACCACCCCCATCTGCACATTCGCCGCTCGCCGCCCGCCGCTAGGCACCCCAGCTCCATGGCCGCCGCTCGCTGCCCTAGGTCCGCTGTCGCCTAGATCTGCCTCCAGCCCACCGACGGTCGTAGCCACCAGCCCGCCGGCGGCCGTAGCCCCTGGTATCCCTCCCGTCCAGCGCACGTCCCGGCGCGACGCCCCTCATCTCTCCGGCGCGCCGCCCTAGATCAGCCTCTTCGCGGCCGGCCCTCTCGGCGCGGCCCCTCCCGTGGCGCCGCCCCAGGTTCACCTCTCCGCGGCTGGCGCTCTCGGCGCGGACCCTCCTGTGCGCTGCCGGCCGCCACCCCAGCCCACCGACGGACATCGCCCCTTCTAGCACAGCCCCTCCCGTGCGCTTCCCCAGGCCCGCTGCCGGTCGAGGCTTGTGCCAGATTTGCCGGCAACGCACCTGCACGCGACCTCCCTGCGACAGATCCGCCGGTAAATTGTTGCGCATCATCTGATCTTATTATTTGGTAGTGTTCATATGTGTTCGACAAATGGTTGCCAAATGGTTGCCTTTACCATTCAATACTTTTGCGTCTTGTGGATTACGATGTCTTGCATCTTGTGCCAAATATGTTTCATGGTGAAGATATTATGGGTTCGTGTTCCTATAATGTTTGTGCAGTCAAATGCTTCTATGATAATAGCTTACCAAATTGTTGCCCCGTAGCTTTTTGTGGCCCATCTTTGATGTTGTTATCCTAGGAATAGGATGCGGGGGGAAAATTCAACTAACCCTAGATCATTTTCTCTAGAGATTACTGAGAAAAGGTCTCCCTTTGTTGCATGTGTGGCATTTGAGATTAACCTATGTCCCTCACATGATGAGGATGCTCTGCTCTAAAATTTTGTAAACGCTTGTTACTTTGGTTCCTTTGCAATGGATCTGGACCGGGGTTTGGCCTCGAACTATAAAATAAAAACAGAAAACATGTACCTTGGTTATCACGTAGACATCCACGTTGCTTCCACTACCCAAGTCATTGAAGATACCTGCGCATATTGCTTCCCACACCAGTTGTATTCCCTCTTCCCTCTAGAATATATAATATTGATATTTTCATGACATGTACCTATTCAAGTACCTATAGGCAGACATATCAGCCATAGTGGCCTCACTAATAGCATGAAATTTTTTTTCTTTGGAAATTCTAATCTCATGTCCCACGATGTACTGCAAAGAAAGATTTTGGGCTAAACAAGGGATGAAGGTTCTGTTGGAGGTAGACAGTGAAGAGTTGTTGGGTACCTATGAGACTCAAGGTACACTTCTTTCTTCACTAGTTTTATTTGTTGTATGTGATGTTGTTATTCTACATTTTATTTGTGTGCCCACTTATGCGAGAGTTTGGAATGTATGTCCTTGCACCAAAAAAATAATTGAGCTTCCTTTGTTGTGATATCTAATATATTAATATTTGAAATAGAACTAGTTAATATGTCAAGCCGAACATGGATGTATAATGGTTGGCAACGTGGCAAAGCTCCCTCAAATGAATGGATTGATGGAACCAATGAATTCTTGAATAGTGCATTTTCAACTCTGGTGTGGCTGAAAATGATACTATTAAGTGTCCTTGTGCACAATGTCGGAACTACTTTAGGCATATAAGATACACTATAGAGATGCATTTGTGTAGGCATGGTTTTAAGGAAGACTATGAAACTTGGACTGAGCATGGTGAGGGGCTGATTTCACATGATGGATATGATGGTGTGGGAAATAGAGAGGGCACTGATGAAGTTGATCTGATGGATCAAATGTTGGTTGAGCTTGCTAGGCACCATCCACCTATACTGGATGCTGAACCATCAGCATATGCCAAAGCTTTCTATAGGATGGTTGCTAGTGCAGATGAGTTAGTGCATGATAGAACCACACACTCACGCTTGTCTGTTGTGAAGCTCGCTTGTTTCTTTGTGAAGTCATGGTACAACATGTCCATCGCAGAATATGATGATATACTAGGCATAGTACATGAACTCCTTCCTCCTGACTCCAAGTTACCTAATGACTTCTACCAATCTAGGAAATTATTAGAGGGTCTTGGTATGCAATATATCAAAATTGATGTTTGCTATAACAATTGCATGCTATTCTACAAAGATAACAAGGACAAAGATAAATGTGATTTTTGTGGTGCTAATCGGTATGTGGAAGGGCGAACAAAGGTTGCACGCAAAGTTTTGCACTATCTTCCAATCATAGATAGGTTGCAAAGGCTATATCTCCATGGGGAGATAGCCAAGTTAATGAGATCATATAGTCCCATACCATGTGGTAAGATGGTGCACCCTTGTGACGGAGAGGCTTGGCAACAATTTATTATGGACTATCCAGAATTTGCATAGGAAAAAAGAAATGTGTGCCTTGCAGTAGCAACAGATGGTTTCCAACCATTTGATGTGAATGCTGCACCTTACTCATGTTGGCCAATCTTTGTGACCCCACTGAACCTACCTCCTGGCACACTCTTAAGGTCTGAGTATATTTTCCTCGCACTTGTTGTTCCTGGTCCGGAGCATCCTGGTAGAAAATTGAACGTTTTTATGCAGCCCTTAGTTGATGAATTTCAAGAACTATGGAAGGGGGTCACAACATGGGATGCTTCATTGAAGGAGGAGTTTACAATGAGAGGAATCTACCTTTGGTCAGTACATGACTTTATGGCTTATGGGGACTTTTCGGGCTGGAGCACCCATGGTAGGTTGTCATGCCCATATGGATGTGGTTGTCGAGGATTCCTACTCTCTAATGGGCGTAAGGCTTGCTGGTTTGATACCCATAGGCGTTTCTTGCCTGAAGATCATCCATTTAGAAATAAAGCTAATGCTTTTCGCAAGAACACCAAGGTGTTTGATGAGGCACCTAGGTACTTAACAGGGGAGGAAGTGCAAGCCCATGTGAACCAGTTTGCTGGTGATACACAAACCTACGGTAGATTGCACAATTGGACACATGTACTTTGTTTTAGGCAGCTTCCATATTTCCATAAGTTGCTACTTCCACACAATATTGATGTGATGCATAATGAAAAGAATATGGGTGAAGCCATATGGAACACATGTTTTGACATAGCTGAAAAGAGCAAAGATAATGTGAAAGCTAGGCTAGATTTGGCTATTATATGTAATCGTCCTTCCATGCATTTGATGCAAAAGAGCAATGGGCAGTGGGATAGGCCTAGAGGTCCATTCAACATTCACAAAGATGTTAAGCCAACCATCCTGCAATGGTTCAAAGAATTGCAGTTCCCTGACTCATATGCATCCAATCTGAAGCGTGGTGTGAATCTGCTGCAAAAGAAAATTTTTGGACTAAAAAGTCATGATTATCACATCTTTATGGAAAGGTTGCTCCCTGTAGTGTTTCATGGGTTTTTGCCAGATAATGTGTGGCGTTGTTTGGCTGAGCTTAGTTTCTTCTATCGGCAATTGTGTGCCAAAGAGCTTAGAAAAGATGTTATCCGCTCTCTGGAGGAGAATGTTGCAGTGCTTCTTTGCAAAATGGAGAAGATATTTCCTCCTGGTTTCTTCAATGTTATGCAACATCTCATCATACATCTGCCTTATGAAGCATGATTAGGTGGTCCTGTCCTAGCATGTTGGTGCTATCCATATGAGAGGTAAATCTAGAAATATTGAAATAACTAGTTTATTTATGCCACTGACCGTAAGTTAGCTATCTGTAATACGTTGCTCTCACTTCGTAGGTGTATCCAAAAACTTAGGAAAAAAGTAAGAAATAAGGCTCGTGTTGAGGCTGGCATTGTTGAGGCATTTCTTGTTGAAGAGGCTGCAAATACACTAAGTCTATATTTTAGACCCCATGCTCCATCTGTTAGAAATAAGGTGCCTCGCTATGATGATTGTGCATCTTCATTTCAAGGTACATGTGACCTTGACATTTTTAAATGCCCGAGTCATTGCATGAGCCCTAGAGGTGTTCGTGAACTCTCAAACAAGGAGTACAAGGTTGCTTTTCTATACATATTGACAAACATGCTGGAGATGGATGATTTCTTCACGTATGTTGTGCCAAAAACGTCATTACTGTTTTGTTCTAGATTTTTTATTATCTAGGCATAACAAGAATTTTGTTCATGTAGGCACTTCGATAATGAACAGTGGAAGAGCTGTATAGCTCCCACAGACCAGCAACGTCGTGATTTAAGGTTAAATGGTTGGAAAAATAGCCGTGGTATACAATCTGGTCCAAATTTTTTTGATTGGTTCAAAGAGCAAGTAATTTTCTCATACACTTCAGCCTTTGTTCTATTTCGACATTGTGAATATGATAAAAAAAATTATCACATAATTTGTGTTTTTTCAGTGCTTGAGAACAGCTAGCATTCACAATGCTCTGTTCCAAATGTCCTATGGTTACTGCCCTCGAGTTAGGTCCTATGGGTGTTATGATGTCAATGGCTATAGATTTCGTTCAAAGAAATATGAGAGTGGAAGAGTAGGGCTAACAACTATCAATAGTGGCGTTTGTGTAACTTCTTTTGATGAATCAGACAATGCTCTAGAGTATTATGGAATCATAGAAGATATAATTAAAATTGAGTGGGAAGGCAGCATGAAACTAGAGTTGGTGTTGTTTTATTGCTCCTGGTTTGATCCAACACACAATGGATTGAGGCGTATTGAAGATCTAGGCTTGGTAGAGATCAATCATACATTAAGATTATCAAATTTTGACCCATTTGTGATGGCTAGTCAGGTTACTCAAGTGTACTATCTGTCATACCTGTGTAAGAACAGAGAGTTGTCTTCATGGTGGGTTGTCTACCATGTTGCTCCACATGGATGTGTGCCTATGAATGAAAGCAGTAGTGAAGCTATGAATATGGAAGGGGTAGTGCAGGATGTCTACCAAGCGGATGGTTTGGATGGCACCTTTGTCATTGATTTGAGTGATGCCTTGGACTCCTTAATTGCAACGGGATCAGATGAGGTTACTCACCCAAAAGACTTGGAAGCAATACAGAAACAAGTTGTTCTGGATGAGGAATATGATGAAGAAGCTATTGAAGAAGAGAAAGAGATGGAAGAGGATGATGAAGCAATGGATGAAGAAGATGAAGAAACTTATGATCCAAATGATTTTTGAATATGCAGTCCAAAATATATGTTTTAGTTATGCTATTTGTTATGCATAAGATCCTATGTAACTGTTTTTGAATATGCAGCCAACAGTCTAGTATTATTAATATATCAGTTTGCATGTGTGCTTCAGTATTACTAAATCTGAATTCATGTTGTTTTCTCTCCAATCCTTTATTAATATAGCAGTTTCCATGTTTGCTGCCCCTCCAATAATTTGTTGTCTGATGCACTATTTGTTTTATGATGGATCTAACATATTGTATCTACTGCAGATGGTTAGTACACGCAACAAACGTGTGCCCAGTTTTCGTGCAGCCAAAAGGAATGATGGTTCTGAAAGTGCAAGCGGTTCCATGGTCCATTCCATTCGACACACACGCTGTGTAGCCAACAGCAGTGCAGCCCAAACAAATGAAGGTTCTGGAACTACAGGCGATGCCTCACAAAGGACAATAGTTGTTGAAGCTCCCCCAGTAGAGCCACCCAAGAAAAGAGGAAGGAAGGCAGGGTCCTGAACAAAATTTAAACAACCTCCACGTGGTGTTAAAGTGGCTCTTAAACCAAGTGGTGACGAGTGAGTGCATTTCTTGCTTGAACAACAGCATGTATACTTCATTTACTTTGTATGACATGCTCCCTCTTGGTTGACTTGTGTGTGGTTCATTTCCAATATAATACTAGCTGCTAGACTGGAAAATCATAGAGAAGTAGCACATTCCTTCTTTTCCCATCAATAATAGCTTAAGCTCCACTAGACTGCAATAATCATGCTTCTTGATTTGTTCTGTCCGATTTAGACCGAACTTCTTAAACATTTAGAAAAAAAGGTCGGTCTAGCAAACCACATCCATTGGTTTGCCAACTCCTTTTGAAATGACGGCATTCATACAAGATTATAGAGTCAATAACATATATGTCATGTGTGGCATAGGATGAATTCGGGTTATCATAGTCCAAGATGGCCATGATACACTAACTTTGCATTTTCTGGCAGTTTTTTCTATTTCATGATGAAGTAGCATGATTATTGTAGTCTAGTGGAGCTTAAGCTACTTCTCATGATTTTCCAGTGTAGCGGCTAGTATATTGAAAATCAACCACACACATGTGAACCAAGAGAGTGCATGTCATGGAAAGTAAATAAAGCATACATATTTGATCAGCTATCTGAACTGAGTGTTTTGTTTTCTAACAAGTGATGCTCGGAGATGCAATTTTCCTATTACTATCATTATTGAGATTATGCAAGGATCATATATTTCTTGCCAAAAGAAAAAAGGAGATGGGAATTAAAGAACCAAACATGCCATAAATCTGATAGGATGTGTCTTAGCATAAAGTAGATGATGTCCAGGACTAGGACAAAGTATATTTTCTGTGACTAGGACAAACAAGAAGCTGCACCAAACTCTACTATTTTAGCAACTACTAGTGACCGTGACTAATTGGTGATTAATTAAGCAGTAAGCTACTCATCACACTCAACTATTTTAGCAACCATTAGTGCTTAGATGTAAACCTGCACCAAAGTCTTATCTCTTACATGTTCACTTTGTGAACTTCCATGTCCGAATACTTGCATGAATTCTCATTGTAGTTTTTGTGAACTTCCATATCCTAGCAGCCTTTTGTGCTGACCTGTTACTTTATTTATAGGCAATTCAGTTATATTTACTACCCACCACCTTACAAATACACTACTCAGCTTGGGGTCATACTTAGAAGAGAATATCCAGGTGTGATTGTGGAGGTGGATGAGAACGGTGATGAATTCAAGCGCTTGACTCTGGATTGGGCTGATTATTTTCATAAAAATCCTAAGGCTACTGAAATGACAAGGGGAGAAAAAGTGGTTTCAAATTTTGGGTAAGATACCTATGTTCAATCTGAAATTTCGAGCAACATCTAAAACTTGAAATTTCTAAAATCTATGCAATGTGAAACCTATGTTCATGGTTTTGTACACATGCAGCATTTGTTCCAAGTTGTAGTAGGAGATCAACAAGATGCGGAATTTGTGTTCTAGAAGCCTGTTTGAAGAAAAGGGTGAGGAACATGATGTATCAAGTCCGTGTGGATCTTTGTCAAGGAGTACTACAGGAAATAAAACACATAGAAATCAAAGATGCAAGAGCATGCCATATTGACCTCGAGTATGAGCAATACAAGCAAGGAAAGCTCGAGTGGTTGAATGATGAGGTGTGGCTCCTCCTTTGTGCTTATTGGTGCTCGAGATGAGTACAAGGTCAAACGTAAGAGGGGCAAACATCTCGCTCAAGTAATGAAGATATTGCTCAAAACTGAGGAGGATCTAGACCATTCACAGAGACACAACAAGTATTGGTATGCACGTGTATATTCTTTATTTTTTAATGTCTTTTTAGGAACTTAGTAGCCTATTGTATATTCATATCTCATTGGAAAATTTACTATTTTTTAGGAAGCTAACTTTGGACCATGAAAGCAACTCCTATTAATACATTTGTTTGCGATGAAATCTGGCATGAAAAGCCTAGATAGCAATGGTAGATGTGGTTCAATCAAGAGCCACAAAGCACGTAAACGCATGGTATGTATGTGACATGTGTGCTGAAAATTTCTTCTTGTACAGTTCTAGGGTGTATACTACTTGAGTGGTGTTGAGTTTACTTGAAGATATTATCGCCCCTAAAGATAAAAAAGAGGGCCATATCTCACCTAATCTCTGTGTAGGAATTCTTCTTTTTTTGTAGTATATGCCTTCGGGTTCTCAATGAGCCTATTTTGTTCCTTAGGGGTTTTCTTTTAACTCTTGGGCTTGTCCTGTCCTGAACTTGGTTTGTGATGTACAACTTTCAAGATGTACATTTCCTTGCTAAGCTGACATGTGTCTAACTATATGTGGTCCTAGTTAATCTTTGTACTTCCTCTGTTTTTTTAATATATGACGTTTGGAAGAAGCTAACTAAACTGCCTTGCTAGTGATGTGCCTTTCCTCTTGGTGAATTGTTTGTTTGAAAGGTTTTTGGTGGCTTTTCGGCTTGCTTGTAGTAGTCATATATCTATGCACATAACATTGGATAGGGATAAGCAAAACCAACCATTTCAACAAAGAGCGGTAATAAATACCAATAATACATCTAATGTGGTAGACTAGCGATGATAGAAACTCTCTCATTTGCAAGCTAGAGTAGTTATAGTGCTGTTGAGGTGCTACATTAGCCCCATTGTTCGATTCAACAGAGAAGGATTGCTAGTAAAAGCTGTAGTGTTATGACTACTTGCTTCATTGTCGGCCTTTCTTCACCTCGTAGCCTCAAGCACATCTCTGCAAGGGATGCGACCTTTTCAATCTCGTCCTCTGTTGCACTTTCTTCTTTGATTTGATAAGATTTATTAGCTGTCCAAATGGTCTGCTATGGCACTTTCTTCTTTGAGTTCTTGCTACTTGCTCCTTTGGTGTGTGGATTTTAAGCATGGAATAGGGCGTATATATATTGTGCTCAATTAAGTTGTTGCCAAAGTACCAAGTGATCTTTGCTAAGCAAAGCGAGGTGGGTCATAAGGCGGCGCTCAATGAGCCTATTCTGTTCTTTTGGGGTTTCTTTTTGCTCTTGGGCTTGTCCTGTCACGAACTGGTTTGTCTTTGTCTGACTTTCAAGATGTATATTTTCTTTCGCTAAACCGATATGTATGAAGGCGGGTTAATGTACGAAGATCGTATCTTGTTGGGTCTAGTTAGAACTAGATCGACCAGTTCAAACTCGGGTGCGATTGAAACTTGTTGTTGCTTTGGGTCTGGTCAAACTGGGTTTGTAACTAGTGCAAACCGAGTTCTAATGGTTCAAGATCTAGTTGGAACCTATTGCAACTAGTCTTTGGACCTCTTTGCCATCTTGCTAGCTACTTGCAAGCAAATAGATACAGACAGTAGCTACCTTCAATTTTCAGGAACTAGGTTTCTAACTAGTGCTGGAACTGGGTCTTTGTAGGATGACTACCTTGCTGATGTTAAGAGGATAGAATGTGCAAACAAAGAGGATGGAGACGGTGCAGACATGGAAGTGGATGGGCATGAGGTTGAGCAACAACAATATTTGAATGGAAAGGCGCTATATGATGTGTCTAGTGGTGCCCCGAGAAAGCATGGGCGTCTTGCCATAGCAAATGGTGCGGTTAAGTCTTTAGATGTCAGGGCAGCCGGAAGGGAAATAAGTGTGCGTCCATCAAATTCAGTGACTATGCAAAACATGTCTCGAGAAATGGAAGAGCTACGTCATGCAAATGGAAGGCTGCAACGAGAGAATCGTGAAAAGGACAATGCACTGCAGCAAAACAAAGTTCTTGTAGGCTTGGTACTAGTATGTGCAATGCTCTTGTAAATAATTCACCAATATTATATGTGAATTATCTAATGATTTAAATTTGAAATATTTGTGCTTGCAATACACTTGTAGAACCTTTACCAGGAGACAAGAAGGGTTGTACCAGAAGAAGCGTTACGACACTTGTCCGCTACGCAAGCAATTGTGAGTATATCTTCATTCCACCATGAACATGTTTTGTAGCTATCATATCCATCACTTAGAGATTTTAATATGGAAAGGAAGTACAAACTGATTAGTATTTTGTGGGGTACTATTCAGAATGTCAACACACAGTGCAGCAGTGAGGAAGTGGCCTCATGTTGATTGTTGTATAGCTACTGCAGTGAATTTGCATGGTTATTGCAGTGAGGAAGTGGCCTTATGTTGGTTTGTAATATTTCACACCTTGATTCTCTTGTTTCTCTTTTTGGTTGTTGCTTGTCTTTTGGGTACTGGTAATTTAGATGGTTCCTGGCATTATTCAGTTGGTACTGCCTTGTACCTCTAGATAAGGAGGAGATGTTTGGCTACTTGATTTGGAACATGCACATGAGCATTATATTTTTTTGGGAGATGTATTGAAGTGGTAATTAACCTTCAAGGCATCGCAAGCATTATCGACATGTTGCTCTGGCTTATTCTCATATCAGTGATGTCA